CAAAGATTAGGAAACTGTGGCATGGGTGCCTTAACTTACCTAAGGTTAGGTGGCTAGGAAGTTGTGCAACTAGTATATGGGTCTTGGGTTTGGGGGCATAAGAAACGTCCCAAGAAAAAATTATTGGAATACTGTTCCAGGAAACTTGCTGACAATGTGCACAATGTGCTAGGCATTGTCAAGACAGACCCAGGCTTTGTTTCCATGGAGTTTATAGCCTAGTGAGCTGTATACATTTGGGGGTAGTAAAATATCATGCAAGTGAAAATGAGAAGAAAGCTAAGGGTAAAATCTTGAGGATCACTAATACTTATGTGGTAAAGAGAAGAAAAAGTCACAGGAAAAAGATGTAGATGAAACTACGACTAAAAGTAAAGAAGAAAGTCAAGAGTAAATGAAGGTTTATAAACTATTAGAAGAGGGAGTTCTGAGGAGAGAGTGTTTTCTGAAAGGTCCAGTAAGGTAAGGAGTGAAGATGTCTAGTGGAATTGATCACTAGCAGATCTTTGATGTCTTTGATGGCCCTAGCAAGAGTAGCTTCTTACAAAGCTAGGTGGGAACAAATTGCAGTGGATTAACAAGAAGTTTGAAAGCAAGACCAAAAAGAAGGGATATAAGTTAGGAGTTCTGCAGTAATCTAAGCAAGATAAAATATTATAATTAAAGTAAAGCAGTGGTTCAAACTTGTAACACTGGAATACCCTCAGAGTGCTAGCCAATCAGAGCAACAGCAATGAGAAGGGGAGCATTAAAAGCACAAAGACATTTTTAGGGAAGAATCAATATGACTTGGTGACAAAGGAATAATCTAAAATGATGCCCTCCCTGACTTTTCTTTCTTTTTTTAAATAGAGACGGGACCTCACTATGTTGTTAAGGCTAGTCTCAAATTCCTGGACTCAAGTGATCCTCCAGCCTTGGCCTTCCAAAGTGCTAGGATTTCAAGCGTGAGCCGCTGTGCACAGGCTAAAATGATTCCAGATTTCTGGGATAGTGGTAGTGCCAGTATCAGAGATAAGAAGTTAAATATATTGAGTTTAGCATGACAGTGGGACATCCAGCAGGCAGTTTAGTAGAAGTTGGAAATTCACAATGTAATTGTTGAAATGTTTACCAGCATTGGCCTTCAGTCTGTGCAACAAACATTCTCCTCTAGTGTTACTTGTCTATTACACTGTATAATATATGAGCATTTGCTTACAAGGTGAATTTCCCATTACTAAAACTTGAGGATAACTTTTATTATACTGGTAATATCAAAACTGTATTGTTCCTGAGGAACTAATGCTATTAAAATAATTACTGCTTTCAAGTGGATGTTTGAGTGTTCATGCAGTGACCATATATTTATATTTTTTTACTTAATAGTCATATAGCAAGTATTATATGCCAGGTATATTATTGCAATTGCTTTACAGATATTAACGAATTTAAATGTAATCATCAAAACAATCTGCTGAGGCAAATATTTTTTCATTGTCATTTTACAAAAGAGATATTGAGGCCAGGTGGAGTGGCTCACACCTGTAATCCCGGCCCTTTGAGGGAGCCAAGGTGGGCAGATCACTTGAGCCCAGGAGTTTGAAACCAGCCTGAGCAACATGGTGAAACCCCATCTCTACAAAAAATACAACAAATTAGCCTGGCATGGGGCCCCCCCCCACCTGCAGTCCCAGCTACTTGGGAGGCTGAATCACCTCCGCCCTGGAGGCTGAGGCTACAGTGACCTGTGGTTGCACCACTGCATCCCAGCCTGGGTGACAGAGTGAGTTCCTGTCTAAAAAAAAAAAAAAGAAAAAAAATATTGAAGTTAGAAGGCAAAAAAACTTGGCCAAAGTCACACGGTTTATAGATGGCAGAGAGCTAGGAGTCAAACCCAGGCAGTCTGTGATAGTGCAGATGCAGATCTTATACTTTAACATTTCATCAGTTTTCCAAACATTTGCAAAATATCAATAATGAATTAAGTTAAAATAGTAGCCCAAACTTGTAACACTGGAATACCATTCATTATGATGCTGGTATGTAATGCCATTCGTGCTTTGCAAATAAAAAAAATACAGTTTTTCTTTTTTTTTTGAGACAAGGTCTGTCTGTGTTACGCAGGCTGGAGTACAGTGGTGTGATCGCAGCTCAATGCAACCTGAACCTCCAGGGTTCAAACAGTCCTCCCATTTCGGCGTCCTGAGTACCTGGGACTACAAGTGCATACCACTGCACTGGCTATTTTTTTTTATTTTTAATTAATTAATTAATCAATTTTTTTTGAGACAGTCTTGCTCTGTCTCCCAGGCTGGAGTGCAGTGGCGCCATCTCGGCTCACTGCAACTTCCGCCTCCCATGTTCAAGCGATTCTCCTGCCTTAGCCTCCCGAGTACCTGGGATTACTTGCCTCAGCCTCCAGAGTAGCTGGGATTACAGGCACATGCCACCATGCCCGGCTTTTTTTGTTTGTTTGTTTTGAGACGGAGTCTCGCTCTGTCACCCAGGCTGGAGTGCAGTGGTGCGACCTCGGCTCACTGCAAGCTTCGCATCCCGGGTTCATGCCATTCTCCTGCCTCAGCCTCTCGAGTAGCTGGGACTACAGGCGCCCGCCACCACGCCTGACTAATTTTTGTATTTTTAGTAGAGATGGGGTTTCACCATGTTGGCCAGGCTGGTCTCAAACTCCTGACCTCAAGTGATCTGCTGACCTTGGCCTCCCAAAGTGCTGGGATTACAGCTGTGAGCCACCGTGCCTGGCCAAAATAAATTTAAAAAATTAAAAAAAAATACAGTCTTTATAAATGTAATTTTCAGTAATCACCTTGGTAATGCAAAATATGGTTTTGGAGTTTTTTTCCAGTTGAATTTTAAGGGAAAGTGTCATTTGCTTCTAATCACTGGAATTCATTATAAAAATATTGTGCAACAGAAAACGTGCTACAAGGTGGTTTAAGAGCTAGAAAAGGCCGGGCGCGGTGGCTCAAGCCTGTAATCCCAGCACTTTGGGGGGCCGTGACGGGCGGATCACGAGGTCAAGAGATCGAGACCATCCTGGCTAACACAGTGAAACCCCGCCTCTACTAAAAAATACAAAAAACTAGCCGGGCAAGGTGGCGGGCGCCTGTAGTCCCAGCTACTCGGGAGGCTGAGGCAGGAGAATGGCGTAAACCCGGGGGGCGGAGCTTGCAGTGAGCTGAGATCCGGCCACTGCACTCCAGCCTGGGCGACAGAGCCAGACTCCGTCTCAAAAAAAAAAAAAAAAAAAAAAAAAAAAAAGAGCTAGAAAATAAAAATACCATTTGTTGACAGCACTACCACAAGACATTAGTAAAAAGCACAGGTAATATGTGATGTAATGTCTGCAGGTAACTATTTCCTAAGACTGAGTATTTTAACGAAGGAAAAAAAAAATTCGTGAGATTCTGCCATCCTCTGATGATTCCATGTATCTCATTATAAATGGATACAATTATGATGGTTTTGAAACGTCCATTTTTGAGCTTATTAACGTTGCAGCAAAAATATAATCATTCATTTCTCAAACTGAGAATTAAAGAATATTCTTATGGCCGGGCTCGGTGGCTCCCGCCTGTAATCCCAGCACTCTGGGAGGCCGGCGGGTGGATCACCTGACGTCGGGAGTTCGAGACCAGTCTAACCAACATGGTGAGACCCCGTCTCTATTAAAAATACAAAAAATTAACTGGGCGTGGTGGCGCATGCCTGTAATCCCAGCAACTTGGGAGGCTGAGGCAGGAGAATCGCTTGAACCTGGGACGTGGAGGTTGCGATGCGTCAAGATCACGCAATTACACTCCAGCCTGGGCAACAAGAGCGAAACTCCAGCTCAAAAAAAAAAAAAAAAAAAAAAAAAAAAAAAAACTTGATTTATGTTAATGGTAACAAATGGTATAAAATACACAGGCAACAGTATAGGAATTCCAGTTTATTATGGTATCAATATTAAGGCCAAGCGCAGTGGCTCACGCCTGTAATCCCAGCACTTATGGGAGGCCTAGGCGGGAGGATCGCTTGAGTTGGAGGTTACAATGAGCTATGATCACACCACTGCACTTAAGCCTGGACGAGACAGCAGAGACTTTGTGTTTAGAAAGCAAAACAAAACAATTTACACACATACACACACACTCCCTAATTCAGCCTACTCAAGCACGATACCAAATAGATGAAGAATATCTAATTAAACGGCCATAAAAAGTTCTAGTTCATGACATGCAAGTTTAAAGAATCAAAATGAGTTACAAGAAAACAAATACAAGCTTTAAGAAGTTGGGGAGAAGATGTGCGAGGATTCGCTTCAGAGATGTGACAGAGAGAGAGAGGAAAGAGGACATTTTCTGGACTGGAGATTCAAGACCGTCTGGTTCAGGCTGCATGTTTTTGCAAAGGCTAAAGCCTTAGTCTGTGAAATAAATTTGTAAAGAGCTCGGAAAACTACATCTCGGACATGGTGTCTTTTCTTCCTGCTGCTTGAAGGTCTTTGCATGTTCCGATCACTAGGGCAGCTGCCGCTATAATTACTGCTTGCTGGGAGTTTTTGTTTACTTGGTAGCTGTGGTGCACCAGGAGAGGCAGAGAAAGAAGAAACAAAAACCTCTGTTACTTGTGACGTTAAGAAGCGGAAAGCAGCCCCGCTTACATCTTCCATGGTCCATTTTAGCCCAAGGAAAGGTCCTCAGCAGCTCTAACACGTAGCGGAGCACTACCTTCGCGTAGGAGCGCACCCGCCTCGGGGCGGGACCAAGACAAACCCCGCCTCCGAAGCCCAATCCCAGTTCTCCGCCGGCGGACAGGAAGCGGCGGCGGGTCTAGCAGCACGGGAACCGTCCCCCGCGCGCATGCGCGCGCCCCTGAAGCGCCAGGGGGACGGGTAGGGGCGGGAGGTAGGGGCGCGGCTCCGCGTGCCCGTTGGGTGCCCGCGCGTCACGTGGCGAGGAAGGAGGCGGAGGTCCGAGTTTACAGGGAGGGGGGGAGAGAAGAGGGAACGAGCAAGGGAAGGAAAGCGGGGAAGGGAGGAAGGAAACGAACGAGGGGGAGGGAGGTCCCTGTTTTGGAGGAGCTAGGAGCGTTGCCGGCCCCTGAAGTGGAGCGAGAGGGAGGTGCTTCGCCGTTTCTCCTGCCAGGGGAGGTCCCGGCTTCCCGTGGAGGCTCCGGACCAAGCCCCTTCAGCTTCTCCCTCCGGATCGATGTGCTGCTGTTAACCCGTGAGGAGGCGGCGGCAGCGGAAGATGGTGTTGCTGAGAGTGTTAATTCTGCTCCTCTCCTGGGCGGCGGGGATGGGAGGTGAGGCACGACTGCGAGCGCCGGGGGCGCCGCGACCACGGCGGAGCGGCGGCCGGGCCGAGAGGAGCCCAGTCGCGCCTCGCGGCGTGCGCGTCAGTCAGCCCAGCCGGCCAGCGGCGCCACTCTGGCGGGCCGCGCTCCCCGCTCCCTATTGTCCCCCGCGCCCCGACCGCTTTCCCTTCGGTGGCGGGCCGAGGAGGCTCCCAAGCCGCCGGCGAGGCCTTCCCCGCCCCCCACCGCCCTGGCGGCCCGGGAGGCGGGGGTCGCCTTCCAGAGAAGCGAAGTCGGGGCATTCGCGTCGCCTGGCGAGAGCGGTGGAACCCAGGCTGGTGGCTGCATCCCTCCAGTCTGCTCGGCGGGTGCCCGTGCAGGCAGCCGCAGCGGGGCTGGCGGTCTCGCCGTCCTCGTTCAGCGCTCATCCTGCTCACCATTCCTCCCCCAGCCCCTGCCCGGTAGCGGATACCGAAGTCCTCTCCGCCGCCGAGACCCGCCGCGCAGACTCGTGGGAAGTTATGTTGTTTGCGGCTGGGCTCGTGTATTGTTCTTTACCGGGCGCGCGGATCCTGACCGACCCCATTCTGCAGAGGGGCCGCCCGTGGAGTGGCAGCAGTCATCACCCGCGTGTCTGAGACTAGTGGCCTCGGTTCTTCCTGTGTCCTGTGTTTGGAGAGAGATCACAGGAGGGTGTGTTGGTGTTCAGTGAAAACATTCTGTCGCCCAGGGGAAGGGGTTTGGTCGGGAGAAGGGTAAACCATTTGGGGATGTTCTTTGATTTGTAGGCTGGATTGGGTCTCCTAGAGTAGAAGTTCGGTCCCTGGGTGACCCAACTTGAAGTTTCGTTAAACTCTCAGGTGGAGTAGATGTGCAGTGTAGTTAGTGGGTTGTCAGAACGGTGCCCCCTCCCCCCTACAAATGAAAGTTAAATTTGCTAAAAGCATGTCATTTCTTGTTTCGGATTTTGAAGACGACGATTTTTATTTCCGGTGTATCCTACGACCAGCTGCATCATTTTATTCTTGTGTAAAGTGCTTTATTTTAGGTAAGCTTTTTGACTTGCCCCAAAGCAAACTTGAAAACCTCAAAGTGTGCCTAAAAGCAACGAATTGAAAAATTTTGAGGAATGCTTTGGATGAGTGTCTGTAGCCTTTGATAACTTAGAAAATATCTATTTCATGTATTGTTTCTGTTTTTTTCTTTGCCACTTTGACTTACGACTGCAGGGCCAAGTGTGTTTCTGTCCTGTATTCTACCGAGTCCGAGGGTGGTACTGCGTAGGCAGACTTCTGTTATAGTTTGTAGTGTTCGGTTTTTTTGTTACACATTTTGTTTTATTTTTTTCAATCCAAGTCATCAAGCAAGATACACATTTTAGATTCAGATCTGATAATAGATGGTTAGTTTTAAAAAGGATTATGTGCGGGAGACCCCGTTAGAGCCTTTTCATCTGACATTTGTTATTTCTGTTCTAAACGTGGCTTTCAACAAATCATTTTCCTATCTGTTTTCACTTTTTGTGATTAAATTCAGGAGTTAAGACACTTCTCTGTAAGGTAATAAAAAGTAAGACAAACACATGAGGCACTTTACTGAATAGCAGTATAGCAAATGTTCTTTTAAAAATAATGAAAACAGTAAGAAACTGATGTAGTCTTATGTTTGAAGAAAAAACAATTGAATAACATAATGTTTGTGGGTTAAAACCCGTATACAAAAATTTTCTAAACTCAGATTTCCAGAGTCCTTTATTGCATTAAGCATTGATTAAAAGCCTAAGTTTTGGTATTTCTGTTAAGCAGAACTTTTTCAAAAAACAGAAGACAAGTTTTATTAGTTTTATTTTAAAATTAGTATCAAGATTTTAGCTTTTGGGTACTTGAAGATACTTGTAATTTTATTGTAACTGTGAGGTATTTTTATTTACTAATCTGAACTGTTTATGGTCACTTGTAAGATCTTTGTATGATGATTTGTAGACTTCAGCACATTCAAATTGAATGTGTCTTTTAGCATATGAGAGAAAGGAGAAATTTGTGTAGATTAGAAGTTGTGGCGGAGATTTAACTTAAAGTAGAAATCATTTTCAGGTAGTTAATAAACCCTTTTTGTTGCTTCCACCTCCCCAATTTGTCAGTCGCTGTTGTGTGTGAAAATTTTCTTGCTTTATATATTACTGGGATGGGAAGCTGGAAGGAAGAATTAATGTAGTTAGAATCATAAAACATAAACTTAATGTAGTTAGAATCATAAAACATAAACTTTCCTAATGGTGTCCATTTCCAGCACAGCCCCATCCTATGTTGTAGTTGTAGGAGCATACCATGTTTTTTTATTTTATTTTTTTAATTTAATTGGTGTGTTTGAGAGCACAAAAGGTATTTCAACTGTAGCAGTAAATCCCATAATGTTTTGGTTTGATGAAATCATACACGAAATAAACTTGAGTATAATATGTCTCTTATATTTAAAAATCTGGTGTAAGTGCTTAGCTTTGTACAGTATGCTCAATAGAAATAAGTTTTCTGGAAACTCGACCAGAGCTTTAAAGGTAGTAGAGCTGAAGCAGTTAAACCTTCTCTTACTCTGACTCGGAATCTACCAGCAAATAAGAGTTTAATGAAAGAGACAGACTAATTTTGTCTTTATCCTTAAGGATCTCTGACTCTTCATCTTTTTTAAAACTTCAGTTTGAGTCCAGTTAACTCCATCATCTTTTTTAAAATTTGTTTTATTTATTTATTTTGAAAAGTAATGACAGGGTCTTAATATGTTGCCCAGGCTGTTCTCAAACTCCTGGAGCCTAGCGACTCACCTACCTTGGCCTCCCAAAGTGCTGGGATTGCAGGCATGAGCCACCCCGACTGGGCAATTCCTTCTCTTGTTAAGACATTTTTCTTAACAAGAAAAATTTACATATTATATATTACTAGTAATTTACATATTTCTAGGATGGGAAGCTGCAAGGAAGAATTAAAGTGTTTAGAATTATAAAACATAAGCTTTCCTAATGGTGCCCGTTTCCGGCACAGTCCCATCCTATGTTGTAGTTGCAGGAGGATACCATTGCCTACATTAACAGTATTTTCTGTGTGTATGTATACAGCCTCTCCCAGCAGGCATGGCAGGCACTTCTCTGATGTGCTTTTAATAACTTGTTTAAGACCCTCAAGGATGTGTATTATCTGATCTCTTTAAAATTTTTCTAAGGACCTTAAGAATTTTGGGGGGTAGGGTGAATGGAACGTTTCTGTGATGCCTTTTGTGTATCTGAATACTGTGTTAGGAGTTTCACTTTTCAACAGTTATGAGAGAGGGGTGATATGCAGTTGAAGAAACAGACTTGAAAATACAATTCTTCTAGCATCATCCACCACTTATTTAGACATTCAAACTCAAGCTGGTTTGACCTTAAACCCTAATAAGCTTTTTTATCCATTGCCCCCTCATGTGTTTTTGAAAGTGGCTTTCATACATTAGCTCAAAGGTGGCCACTGGACTAAACTACCTTAGAGGTATATTTTATTTGCATTGACTTTAAGTTTGAATTAATGATTAACATTGGGATATTTCTCAATGAAATTGGGAAAAATTGGGATATTTCTCATTGAAATTCATGGATTTCTGGATTTTAGGGGAAGACTTGGAAATCCAGGTACTAGGGGGCTATATTCCTATTGTCCAGAACTGAGCAGTAGGACAGTAGCCACCCTCTTTAAACTGGGCATGTGCGTACCCGTTACTGCAGTTCCCATCATTCCTGATGATACATCTGGCCTTTTTCACTCATTTTTGTTACCTGCCTGGGTGCTGTGGGTATGTTGTTCACATCTCTGCCTCAGCTTTATCTTGTATAGATACCTCCAACTTTTAAAAAATGTTTGACTGTGACCTCTTACTCAACTTTTAATGTTTTTTTGCAATGTTTTTTCTGTAGTCTTAAAAATTGGTTTAAAAAGAACATGGCATACACCATACTTTTTATTCAGCATTAGGTTATTAGATTTTTTTTAAAAAAAACCCTATTTTTATAATAGTAACAATTTGAAGGTCTTTAAGATAGAATGATTGTTAGTCTCTCCACATGTCTTTATCTAAATGAGTAAATAAGAAACTGTTTCTTTTTCTACTGGGATGAGAACCACAGAAAAAATTAGTTGAGGGTCATATTAATAAAAACCAATTTAAGAATAGGATACAAACATAAACTCTGCTTTTGAAATTAAGACAATGAAATGGAGGAGCAATAACTTCAGCAATTAGCTACATTTTCCTAACATTGTTGGGAGATCACAGGTTCAGATATGAAATGGTGTCCATATAACAAACTCTGGGAATACACTTTTTTTTTGAGACAGAATATCGCTCTGTTGTCCAGGCTGGAGTGCAGTGGCCCTATCTTGGCTCACTGCAACCTCCGCCTCCCGGGTTCAAGTGATTCTTCTGCCTCAGCCTCCAGAGTAGCTAGGACTACAGGCATGCGCCTCCAGGCCTGGCTAATTTTTGTATTTTTATTAGAGACCGGGTTTCACCATATTGGCCAGGCTGGTCTCAAACTCCTGACCTCAGGTAATCTGCCCGCCTTGGCCTCCCAAAGTGCTGGGATTACAGACGTGAGCCACTGCGCCTGGCCGGGAATACACTTGTACATTTTTTGTGTGTTTCTTTTTGTTGTTGTTGTTGTTGGTCTTGGTTAGAGATGAGGTCTTACTAGGTTGCCCAAGCTGGTCTTGAACTCTTGGCTTTAAGCAATTCTCCAACCCTGGCCTCCCAAAGTGCTGGGGTTACAGGCCAGTTTTGGGTGTATCTGGTGGAAGTTTTTCTAAAATATAGAAAATTTACTGTAGACACATTTATCTCCTTAAAATGGACTGAATTTAATCTTAAATGATTAAAGTTTAATTGGGAGAAGAGTTGTTATTCTGGGTTCTATTGTAGTTTCTGTTTTTACTTTTTCCAGAAATGATTGAAATGGCCTGGTAGTTTATTATTTTATTATTCTAGATGATTGTGCATTTTATTCTTGGATCTAGTTGTAGCAGTATTTCCAACTTTTTGGTTAGGTTTCTTTGCTTTCTTGTAAATCTTGAAGATGTCACCTTCTAATTAGTTGTTTCTAGTACGTTTTGTGTAGGAAAACTAAATGATTATACTTAACAAACACGCTTGCACGTGAAATGAAATAAGTAAGTTCTAAATCTTCTATGGAATAAAGTACATGGACTTTAGGTAGTTTTTTCTTTCTCTCTGCCCCCCACCCCTACCCCTCACCTTTCAATATGTATAGCTTGGCTTTGTAGAGTTTAGCATTGAGGTTGCCTGGCTCCTAACTTTCTAAACAGTTGGAATGATGTGGTACTAAGTTAAGCAGGGAAGAGTGGAGAGAAAAAACTGATGAATAACCAGGAAGGTACAGCAAATAAAATGTATACTCATTTGGTTGCAGATAGATTATGTCCTAGAGCTAAATCATGAGTACTCTGGTTTTATACTAATATACTAGATTATTGGTATTAAACATACTTTAAAATGTCCAACTATAATGTTCTCTACAAGAGTAGAAATTGTGAATTAAGAAAGAGTATTGACTGGATGTGGTGGCTCATGCCTGTAATCCCAGCACTTTGGGAGGCCGAGGCAGGCAGATCACCTGAGAGGTCAGGAGTTCGAGACAAGCCTGTCCAACATGG